TCAGATTCAAAACCCAACAGAGGGTATAAATCTATTTCTCACACTCTCACCCATCTGCCCATGGCCAGAGATTTTAGCTAATCTAAACCAATATTTATGAGATATTTGTACGTACCATGGTCTTTGCATGCTATGACTTGTCATCTTTAAGTAAAAGTAAAGGTTCCCCTCACACATATGTGCTAGTTGTTCCCGACTCTAGGGGGCGGTGCTCATCTCCGTTTCAAAGCCAAAGAGCCAGCACTGTCCGAAGACGTCTCTGTGGTCATGTGGCCGGCATGATAAAATGGCGAAGGTGAATGGAACGCTGTTACCTTCCCATCAAAGGTGGTTCCTATTTTTCTCCTTGCATTTTTACATGCTTTCGAACTGCTAGGTTGGCAGAAGCTGAGACAAGTAACGGGAGCTCGCTCCGTTACACGGCGCTAAGGATTTGAACCGCCTACTGCCAAACTTTCTGATCGACAAGCTCAGCCTCTTAGCCACTGAGCAACCACGTCCCTTTGTTATCTTTACCTCATCAAAGTTAAAATTTTGGGTTGTGAACTACTCTGAAACCTAAAGTGGTTTTTCAACAAGCACTTTTTTCCTTTCTGAAGCTGGGACCCACAATACGAGTATAATTATCCTGGCTTCTTTTATTTTTCAAAAATAATACGTGGAGAAGGTGGGATACTGTATTGTGGTTAATTTAGCCCAAAGAACACACACCTAAATCATACTGAAAAGATCCATTTAGACCTTTAGATCATTCATAGAGATTTTTCTTTTTGTTCTTCCTTTAAAAAATAGCTTCTGGTGTCGGTCAATTTTATAACATTTAAGATAATTGATAGATCAAACTTCCACTTAGATTTTTTTTTTCTCTCTGAATAGCTCGGTGGAATAGGCACCGGTCTTTAATCCCACAATCAATTTACAAGGGTTTGAATCTATACATATGTACAAATGATGAATTAAGTGGATCAATTTTACCTTATGTGTATTCATCACCATACCATTCATTAAATGAACAAAGAAAATAGCTTCTACGTTTCAGATCAAGAGTCTATCAGAGCTTGGCAAGACAAAAAGGCTCAGACTTGAAGTGCATTAGGTTGCTTTGAGGAAGTCTATACCGCAGAGTGACCTTGATGTCCCCGTCCCCCCCCCCCAAAAAAAAGTTTCCGTGATTCTTCCACAACACTTGCATTTTTGTACTATTTATACACTGTTTGCTAT